TACAGCAGCCACTTCTTTTTCTTGGCCTTTTCTTCCTAGATTTTTCTCCTCACCGGACACTTGCTCCCTAAACCGCATTAATTGTTCAATCAGATTGTCTATCTTGGCACAACGAATGCTACGTGTATCCATCATATACACAAATCAATTTTTCAATGAAAATATCTCTGACAAGTTTCATTTGCCCTCTCTCTCTTTTCCCCTTTCGGCGAAAGTGTCTTCAGCTTGCTTCTTTTTTGACATAGGCCGTCTGTAATGTCGCAAAATACTGCATCGGAATAGGATAGCACTGAATGATATATACACAGGCCGTCTGTAATGTCGCAAAATACTGCATCGGAATAGGATAGCACTGAATGATATATACACAGGCCGTCTGTAATGTCGCAAAATACTTCTCTTTTAAAATGCTTTTAAGTTTTATAAATGTCTATTTATTAAGTCATCAACTTTTTTAGTGTTAATTTAAATTTTAATTTCTTAAATAATTTTATTAAATTTAAAAAATATATAAATAAATTTATCAAACAAAAAATATATAAGTAAGCCTGATTCCTCTCAACTAATTTTTACCATCAAATATAAGAAAAATTAAGAACCTCAAACTCCATTTTTTTCACAGTTAACTTAGGGCAGTGTCCTTTGTCTTATGCCTCAGGTGGGCACACTTTTTAACTCTCAAGTAATGAAAAGCGTGAAAATTAACAAAATCCCTCGGTTACATTTTCCCTCTTTTCTGTGGTTGTGTCAAAGGGCATTTTTGAGATCCTAATCCAAAGCAGAAAATACAGAGAAAAATGAACAAGGGAAGACCAGATTAGATGGGAACACAAACAAGGGTGAGAAACTTTTCCAAAAGTGAAACACGGAAAGGCAGAAGGACGGAATGAGGCTTTGAAAGCTCCGAGCTCTTCCCTTCTTCCACCCTGTTCTAAGGGTAATTTTCATCGCTCTCTTTTTTTTTTTTTTGTATGTAGTCTTCCACTAAGTAAAATATATAAAAATTATTTTAAAAACACCGTAATTATTAATTTTTTTTAAAAAAATAAATAAATAACCCTTACCCTATATGTACCTTATGGGATCCCTTTGCATATATTCATTTCACTGCCATATCGCCAACACCTTCCAAGAAATATCCAGCTAAATAAATTCTATAAGTTTGCTCTTCTCCTTTGCCGGCTCACCCTTTTTTTATTATCAGATACAGTTTGGCTTGCAATTGAGGGCGTGGATCTGCTTTTGCTTCTAATTTGCTTGGCCTAATTAATCTGATCATGTGTCTACTACTTTTTTCGATTTCTTCTATCGAATTTGCAGGTATACTAAATCTTCAATCATGGTTTTGTGCACTTATGTTATTCTTAAAGTACATATTAAATAAAAATATTTATTTTTTTTGATAGATGCATGACCTTATCTTTAATATTCTTTGTTAGATTCTTTATTTTCAAATTATTTTATAACAAATTGTTAGTTTCTTTTATTTTCAGATTTGTTTTTATCTAATTTATTTGTAGTTGCTAAACAAATTTTATGAAGTATTTTTTGTTGATCATATTTGAATCATGTTCTATTTTCAGGAAATATTCATCAAACCCTCTAATCGCAAAGAAATAAGCTTGTAATTAAACAGATCTGCTGCTACTTGTAATCCGCATAGTTTAATTTGGTCATCCTCATCAATTTCTTCAATTTCATCAATTAAACTTAAAGGTATACCATCTACTAGTTTAATCTTAAATATGATTCTCTTAAATTTTTGCTGAAGTATATAAGATGAAAAAAAAAAAAAAGGAAAAGTAGTGTACCAATAGATACAAATTACTGGCATATCAACCTTTGCTTATATAGTTCATTTTTTTGTATTATCTCAAATGTTAAGGATAATTTGGTTATAACTATAGTAACTAAAATTTTGAACTGAATTAATGTTTTTTCTACTTTGGTTAATTCAATTAATCCTGGGTAAAACCAAATTCAACCATTTGTATTTGGGTCCATTATGTGCATGGTTATTGATGAGTTTTAATTGAATAATTGAAATACTAGTATCAAATTGACTGATTAAACTAGTTTAAATTTTTTGTTACTTGAATTAATTTAGTTAATTCATCTATATATCTAAGTTTAATAGAATTAATAAAATTTAAATCAAATTAACTAAATTATAATGAAATTTTTTTTAAAAAATAACAATTTTTGTTAATTTGGAATACCAACCGAAATTAAATTGAAAATTTTCAACTAATTAATACTAATTTTTTCTGAATAAAAAAGGGTTCGATTACACAAGAGGTATTTGACTAACTTTTAACTTGTTGATTAACCAAATATTTCAGTTTGGTTAACCGAACCAACCAAACGCCCCCTCCTACCTACATCAACCACTGTACTAGATGTTATATTCTGTTAAATTATTAACAAATATGCGTAGACATTTTACATCCGAAAAGATAAATAATATTCTTAGATGTAATTATAAGAGTCTCAGGCTGACAAATTTTTATTAGTTGGTTTTTTTAATTATTTACTTAATTTTTTATTTATCAAAAGAGAGTAATATCTCAGCAAGTCTCATAGACAAATTAGTTAATGTACTTAATATTTTAATTGACAGTAAAATTTAAATCATAATACTATATAAATATCCTTCTTTTTCCTATCTCAAATTATAACTGTAAAAAAAAAGAAAAAAGAGCAATATCATTATTAGAACTTGTATTGTAGATTTTCATAAAAAAAAAAAAAAAAACCTCCATTACAAAGACTTTTACGTTAACAGACAACTATGATATCTCCATTATAAATTATTATAAAAGCATCTATGCATGATACATTATTTTCCTTCATCTTCGCTACACACAGCGCCTCCCAACACCAACCACTTCTTTTCTCCCAGTTATGGATTCGCAATGGGTTGACCTTCTTCTGAGTCCTATCATCAACACAACAGTTTCCAAGTTGATTTCCACTGCTGCTGAGCAAATCAGCCTCGCTGTCGGCTGGAAGAAGGAGCTTGCATCGCTTAAAGACAAGTTCCTCATGGTCCAGGCTGTGCTAAAAGATGCTGAAGAGAAGCAGGTCAGCGACCCTGCTGTGAAGCTCTGGCTTGAGAGGCTCAGGGATGTGGTTTATGAGGCCGATGATGTGCTGGACGAGGTTGCTTACGAAAGTGTGAAGTGCAAGGTGGAGACTAAAAACCAGAAGACGAAAAAAGTGTGTAATTTCTTTACCTCCTCCAATCCCTTGCTGTTTCATAGAAAGATTGCTGAAAAGATTAAGAATATTATTGCATCGGTGGATGTTATTAACAATGAGGCCAGAGGGTTTGGACTCCAAATTAGACTTGCTACTGCTAGCAGGGTGGTTTCTGAACAGGGAAGAAACCCACAAACTCATTCCACCATAGGTGATTTATCGATGGTTGTGGGGAGAGAGGATGATATCTCCAAAATAGTGCAACTGTTAACTGACTCATCTAATGTATCACGCCTTTGTGTCTTGTCAATAGTGGGTATGCCGGGTCTCGGCAAAACCACTTTGGCACAAGCTGTGCGTAATGATGAGCAAATCAAAAACTATTTTGGTGAAATAATGTGGGTTTGTGTGTCAGATGATTTTGATGTGGATAGGATTTTAATTGAAATGCTGGAATCTCTTACTGGAAACTCTGGAGCAGTAAAAAACAAAGACACTGTAATTCAAAAAATAAGAGAAGCCATGGGGGAGAACAACTTTCTTCTAGTTTTGGATGATATGTGGAATGAAGAGAGTCATGGGAAATTTGAAGACTTGAGAAGCTGTTTGCTTGGGATATGTAAAAACTCAAGGAATAGAGTTATTGTGACAACTAGAGATGAAAAGGTTGCATTGAAAATGAGAATGAGAATGCATCATGAATACATGCATTCTCTTGGAAAACTACAAGATGCTGACTGTTGGTCTATTATCAGGAACAGAGTATTTGGAGACGCTTCTATACCTCCAGAATTGGAGAATATCGGATGGGATATTGCTCAATTATGTGGAGGTGTGCCATTAGTTGCAAGTGTTATAGGAGGTACTTTGTGCACAGAAAATTTGAATAGAGCCGAGTGGCTGTCATTTAAAAGCAAGATTGAGGCACTTGGTCCACTTGAACATGATAATGGAATCACGCGTGTAATAAAATTGAGTTTTGATCGCTTGCCAAAGTCAGCTTTGAAGCAGTGTTTTGCATTCTATTCTATTTTTCCAAAAGATTTTGTCATGGAAAGGGACATGTTGATTCAGCTTTGGATGGCTAAGGGATTTCTTCAATCAACTGATGAAAGTCCTATCACAATGGAGGATATTGGTAATAAGTATTTTAATGACTTGTTATCATATTCCTTATTTCAAAAGGAAGAAATATTTAGCTCTGGAGTTATTGATATTAGTTGCAAAATGCATGATTTGATTCATGATTTTGCACAAATAATTTCAAAATCTGAGACAATGATTTGGAAGACTCTTTCTCCGAGTAATATTTCTAATGTTCGGAATTTGAATCTCATTTGTGGTGGGGGAACAGTGCCAACAACTTTGAGAGGTGTTGCTCCAAAGCTACATACTTTGTTTTTAAAAGATGGTGCTTTTTCCAATGATATGCAGGTGGATCTTAAAAGCCTACGAGTTTTGAGTTTTGTTGATGCTATTCATATTGAAGAATTGCCACCATGTTTTGACAACATGAAGAGTTTGAGATATCTAGACATTTCAAGAACTCGGTTAACAGAATTGCCAAAGTTCATCACCAAGTTGTACAATTTACAGACATTTAGATTCATGACTTGTAGATCTTTAAAAATGCCGCCTGAAGGAATAGGAAGTTTAATCAACTTGAGGCATATCTACTTCAGTGATAAAGAGCAGATGCCTGCAAACATTGGGAGACTACTGTGTCTTCAAACATTGCCAAAATTCTTTGTAGGCACAACAAAGGGACACAAAATTGAAGAATTAGGCAATTTGAGAGGGCTCAAAGGAAGTTTAGAGATCTGTAATCTTGAGCTTATTAAGTACAAATCAGAAGCCATGGGAGCAAGGTTACATGAGAAGACAATTTCGAAGTTGACATTAAAGTGGAGAAAGAAAAGTGACCAGGATGAAGATGTTTTGGAAGGCCTCCAACCACATTCAAATCTGCAAGTCTTAGAAATTTATGGTTATGGAGGCAAAAACTTACCATCATGGATGTTGCAAAATGTCTTGAATTGTGATACTTTTTTGCTCAAGAATTTGAAGAAATTGAGTATTGATTCTTGCAAGGAGTTACAAAGTTTGCCAGTAATGACAGGATTTTCATCTCTTCAGAAGCTTTGTATTTCTCGTTGTGATGAATTGAGAACCATAGCCGAAGGAGCATTTGCATCGTTGGTGTCCCTTAAAGAATTAGACATTTCCACCTGTCATAACTTGGAAAGTGTTTCATTAAATGAATTATCATTGCTTGAGAAAGTCCAGATTCTTTCCTGCAACAGGCTGAATAGCATAGGAGATAGTCTATCAACCTCCACATGTCTCAAAATTTTATGTTTGAATGGCTGTAGAAGTCTGAGGTTTATTCCAAGTCTATTTGGGCTATCATCCCTTAAGAAGTTGGTGATATACAATTGCCATAGCCTGATCTCTATTCCAGAAGAACTGAAGGAAATACATTCACTGGTTGATTTAAAGATTGAATCGTGTCCAAAATTGAGGAACATCCCAAAAAATACCCTCAATTCCCTTACCAACTTGAAGGGATTGAGTTTAGGTGGTTTCTCGGAAGAGTTGGAGGAATTCCCTGCTCTCAGCTCCATCCACAGCCTCCAAGTCTCCCTAGAAAAGTTGGCATTGATTGGATGGGGAAAACTAACTGAGTTGCCACATCAAATTCAAAACCTTACTGCTCTAAGAGAGTTGGCAATATCAAAATTCAACGAATTGGAGGCATTACCGAATTGGTTGGCAAACTTCTCCTCTCTTAAATCACTAAATGTTCAGGATTGCCTTGGATTAAAGTGTCTGCCAAGTGGGTTGCCATTCTCTACCACTCTCGAGGAGCTTAGCATACGCACATGTCCTAATCTGGTCTCTACTAAGCTAGAAGATGTCCTCAGCGGCCTTGCTCGCCTGAAGACATTAAGTATCGGTCCTTTCTCAGAAGAGTTGGAGGAATTCCCAGGTCTGAGTTCCATTCACAACCTTGGCGCTTCCCTTGAAGAATTATATTTGTATGGTTGGGAAAAGCTAACTCAGTTGCCACATCAAATTCAACACCTCACTGCTCTAAGGCACTTGTCTATAGGTCATTTCCATGGAGTAAAAGCCTTGCCAGAGTGGTTGGGAAACTTGTCATCTCTTCAAGATCTATGGACCGTAAATTGCAAGAATCTGAAACGTCTCCCTTCTGCACAAGCCATTCGACACCTCTCCAAATTGAAATTCCTTAGCATTTCAGAATGCCCAGAATTAGAGATACAATGTGGCAAGGAAAGTGGTTCCGAGTGGTGCAAGATTTCTCACATTCAAACCATCGCAATAAAGGGAGAGTACATTTAATCACAAGATTCAAGTCTTCGAGAGGCAAATCGTATGTTTCATCTCTGAAATCCCAACTCCTATTTTTCTCATAACTTCACACTTTGTAATTTATGAATTTCCAACAACTAATTCTCTCCTCATTCTCTCAGTCTGTCAATTTATCAATCAATATGAACACCATGTTATCACATGAAAATTAGTTTACTTCATGTTTTTACATATTAACCACAAATTTTCTGTATCTTTTTATCTTATTCCATTTCTTTTACTCGATGTAGGTTAATTGGGAGGAGGATTTTTTGAATTCAGAAATGAACTCCCAACAACAAGAACTTAGATTCTAGCTTCAGGTAATTAATTTTTCGAATTATAGTTGTGTTCTTTGCAATTGGTATTATTTGAAAACTATCCATTTCAATTGGAACTAAGTTCCATTTCACTTCAGATTCATAGAAAAAACATGTTGTGAAGCAGAGAGTTCTTAAACATGATTCAACTATTATACCGTCAGTATATCAGCTTATATGTTTTTGTTTTACTATTATATCAAGGATAATTTCCATCCCTGATATTGAAGTTAACAATCGTTTGCATACACATTGACACACATTTCAATTGGTTATGATGCAGTCATCTAAACTCGCTTTATGCACCAAGGAAGGTCATATGAGGATTATTGTAGCAAGAGGGTTCTCTTTAGGGTGTTCTTAAGGTACTTTGATCGTAAAGAATCATTGTACAATGTTCTCTTAAATGAGAGGTGTATCTTTTTATTATTGTTCCAATTTTTCTTATGTTTTGTGTTTGAAAAACTTGAGACATAGTCATTGTACTATTCATTTTAGTAGTGGATTTTCTTGGGGTTCTTGTCCCATGGTTTTCCCTCCACATCAGTGAGTTTTCCACTTAAATTCTGTGCTCTTTGCTATCTATGTTTTTTATGATGCCTAATATATTTATTTGGCCCATAACTATCATCTATGTTTTTCCCTCCATATCTCCTTTCTTTCTTTCTTTTTTCCTTTTTTTTTTTTTTATCTCACATATCATTGAAGCTGATCTATGGTGTAGCTTCACAGTCTCATAATCACGTACCCAACATGGGTGTTTTCAATCTCTATATACTTTTTCCTACTTTTGAAGGATCAAAGCATCATATTCCTACTGATTCAAAGCGTTGGGATACTAGTTCGTTGGGGTAAAGTGAAGAGTTTATACAACAAAACACGTAGTACCAAAATTTTGATATAAAGTAGATTTGAAGGATATGGGAAGGGCCCCATTGCTTAGGGATGAAAGGGGATAGGGAGTATAAAAGACAGCACTTTTCCGGTCCCTGCTTCCTAAATTGGCTTAATTGTCTTATACTTAAAATGACACAGGCTTGACCATATATACACAGATGACCTCTTATCTGCCATAATCCCTTCCAGCTGAAGGACAATCACCAATCTTCCTGATATCTTGTCCAAATGAACTGGAAACTCAACTTTTTCATGGTTTTTTGGCCTTCCAATCATGTCAAAAACTGTACTAAACTAGAATTTTCTACCAATTTTTGGTATAATATATATGAATATAGTAATATTCTTCTATTGTTCTTTTTCAACAGAGGAAGAAAATTACGTACTTTTTCCGTAAATGGCTGCTTGAGACTCAATGTAACTATTATTATGCATCATTGGAAAGGCATATCCTGATAATTACAGAAGCTTGAAATAAAGCATGAGCTTGGCAAGAATTGAAACAAAAATTGGAAATTTGAAAATCTACCTTTTTTTAAAAAAAAATTTTGGCACATGAATTCATCTCTTTATTTGAAAGCAAATAGTTCACTGCCTAGAGTGATAGTTCCAATACCTTCACCCATAATTGTTGTTACTGCCATCACTTTCTTGTGAATCTATTGCTTAAGCACAGCTCTGTCCATTCTTGGCCTCCCATTTCCAGGGAAACTCATGCATTGTAGTGTTAACCTGATAAAATCCTGGATTCCCTCCTTGGTGAAGCTTCCAACTAGTTGGTGATCAACCAAATTGTTTGAACTTAGTTGTGAATGTACATTCGAAAAGTAAGAAAAGCATTATAATCCAAGTTCTCTTTTTTGTTTCTCAAAAGGAAGAGCAAGCAAGACTTGGAAAATGTTGATCAATTCAAAGTGAACACCTAGAAATGAAGAACACTACCCACTTAATCAAGGTTTAATCGGATCTGATGAGTCTATATTCGCAAATTGCTGCCTAGTTACTAGCTCCAAAAGGAACATCTGTAAATGTCACTCATTTTAGGAATGTTTCCTGATGCTCCTACCCTGACATGCACATTAAGTCTAAGTTGAATATAGGCAAAGGATTAATTCTTTTCATATTAAAAACCAAATAAAATCAGAAGAAATTAATTTTTACACTGGATCTTGGAAAACATCAACAGTAGATGTGCAAGATGGACCTACTTCTTCTATCTTTTCAAGTATTCTGAACACCCCAGCATCCGCAACCTTGGCAATGAAGTTCTCATCAACAAGGACATTGGCCAGTTTGAAGTTTCTATTTTACCAAAGGAGGCTTTAGGTTGTGCAGATGGCATAGAACTACACCAAGGAAACAAAATTTCCTTAACAAAAATGAAAACTAGCATTTCCTTTGTCAGATTCTTCTAGCTTTATCTTTAGCTGCCCCTAGAGCAATGGATAGCCTCTGCTTGAACTCTAGTCTAGTTGATGAATCTAGTGCAGTATCTGAAAAACAATTAATGGATATATAAACTGTTGCATTTACAACCTTGCAAAAAAAACCAATTTTGATAAAGGAGTCATACTATGTAAGTGATTGCGCATGCTGCCATTTGGTAAATGCTCATATACTAAAATTTGTGATCCACTTTCTTGACAATAGCCTTTAAGAGAAACTAAATTCAGATGTTGAATCTCCGACCGATAGGCTACCTGTCTGGCACATAAACATGTTACTTTCTGTCTTTCTGTTCCCAAATTTCAAAAGCTGAAGAAAAGGACGTAAAATGTGAGGCATCTCTGTCAAATTGATCATACTATTCTCCATAATGAGCTGACCCCATATCAAAAGTAGAGGAAATGATGAGACAAAAAGAATTCCGGATTCGACATGACGTGGATACCTCAGCAACAAGTTCTGGTGTTGGAGCACCTGGTTGCCTTTTGATAGCTAGAAACCATAGTATATCGAAGCAAACTGTATATATTTTCCCAAAGCTTCTGTAGGGAAAAGGCACATTTTCTGAGACTTTAGCAGCAAGCAAGGAGTTCATGTTTGTGAATTTTTGTATTTTCTCAACTACATTGTTCTTCTTCTTCCTATCAAAGAATCAAACTTTTGTTTTCTTCACTAGGGTTTTCATTTTTCTTCATTGGATCTCTCCTCTTTTCTTGCTCAAAAGATACCTGAATATGTGAGAAATTGCGAAGGAGTGGATTGACCAAAAAAAAATCCCCTCCAAAGGACCACTTTTATTACCATAATAATGAATTTTGTTATTCAATGCTGTTAAAAACATATGTTGTAATGGGCTTTTCTAAGCAAGGAATGAAGGGATCGACAATTGGCCTCCAGTCCAGTTTCGCCAAACTTTTTATTTTCATCAAAGGTTTAAGTAAAGAGGAATGTTAGGACCCTCTCTTTAACATTTTTTTT